ATATATATATTAAATTATTAGTTTATTAGAGATTATTGGTTTAGTTAAATTACAAGACCTTCAGATGTTTAGTATTAAAATTATCTAAACAACAGATAAATTATACTTCAGAGAGGTAACAGAGGTTATCTCATCTCTGAGATAATTCATCATTATCTAAATTTGTCCATCATTGAGAGAAAAATATGGTTCAGATTTAAAGAGCTGATGACGGTACTTTATTGTTTACAGTACTAGAAAGTAGTTCACTTGATTTCTTTCCGTAGTTATGGATCAGTAAAATAATCCTTTCTCCGATTTACTAAGAGAATCTATATTTCTTATAAACTCTATTTAGTTAATTTTATTAAAGAAGATTGAAAGACGTTTCTTTTCTATATTTTTTATTCGTTCTCTTATTTATTTTTATATTTTCGATCTCTTTTTTTATTCTGTTATTCATGATGCTTATGTATGGCATCATGTATCTGAATATATAACAATATATATAGTTCAAAAACACTTTCATGATATTTTTCAGATAACCTTAACATCGTTTGAATTATAGTTATTAAGTTTTTGAAAATTAGTGCACCTAATCCAATGATTCTAAGTGATGCACACTATCGCTAGTAATAATACTCTGAACTGATATCGCAATGGATCTTAATGGTCTACGCGTAGCCTCCTTGGTCTGTCAACATAACATAACCTAACCTACCCGAAACTCACAAAAACTATATGTGAAAATCAGGAGAAACAAATTTAGTGTAATTAATTTTTATCTTTAAATCGGTGTTGAAACGAAACAAGATGGATTCATATTGTAATACGTAAACAAGATGTTCTTATATATTAAAACCCATCGTTTATGGGGACATTTTGAACCATTTCCATAAATTTAGTTAGACAATCTTTATAATTGAGTGCTACATAAATTGAGTGTTAATAAATTTCATGGAAGGCTAATCCAAGAAAAGTTGTGAGATGTCGACTTCAAAGTAATAAAGTGCTTTGTGATCCTGATTTTAGTTCGTTGGATTATAAGTTTTTCTAATTTTTGAAATAACGGAGATCATCGTCGATTCTCTTGGGATAAAAGTCCATAGTTTCATGATAAAGAAATAATTGCTGTTGTGAAAAATGAAAAGTAATAATCAATAAAATTTTCCAATTTTCCAAAGTATTTTAAAGTCTTTTCTCTATATTAAAAAATATAATCTTTGGGATTAAAAACTATTGGCTTATTTTACTTAAAGTCAGATTTCTTGTTGTAGAGCATAAACTTTTTAACTAGTATTTCTAAAAATTTCTTGACTGAGATATCGGAGAGTTAAAAAGTGAATGATTTTTAAGTAATAAAATGTTGATTTAAGATGGCAATTTAAATAGAAACTATAATGCAAATTATTATATATATTTTTAATAAACTGTTTTAGTACATCCTTTGGCAATATTTTCAATTAAAAAAATTAGTGGATGTTATTTCGCTGTGTAAATAAAAACTTAAGTATATTTCAAATTATATTTAATTAATCATAAAAAATTATTGTTCATAAAAAAAATGCGGAAGCGTTCTATGTCTGCACTTAAATTTATTTTATCTATAATTATTTATTTTTATTGCTGAGTTGAAAGCTGATTCTCGCCAAAATCGCCCATATAACTTGCATTCAAATTTACCTAAAGCGGTGCTTGGTGCATGCATTAATACAGCATAAAATTTTTTCTTAATCAAACAAACAGTTTCGAACTAAAAACGCGGTTCACTGCTTTCTATCTCTGCAGGACCCCAGGCCTACAAATTATTTTATTATAGAAAATTGCAGTGGAACTGCGGCTTTTGTTGCTGTTGCGTTAGAGGCAGTCATTGCGATTTTATTTACAAGTTGACAATTTCGCCTTTGCTTACAAAACACCTCAGAAATGATTACAGTCACGCATGTGCAAAGTCTGCGGATGAGCA